AACGCGTTGGTTTGGTACGTCAGTGCAAACAAGATGATCGTGCTCAACGTGAGCCACAACCCAAACGAAATGGACGAAATGAACACGCTCTTCAACTTCCACGAGTCGGGCGTGCGGCTCGCGGTCACGTTGTCCTTGGAGATCGTCAAGATCGTCCCGTCGTTCAGGATGGCCAACACCACGACCAAGATCGTGGGAAAGTACCAGTTGTAGCACACCGTCAACAAACCAAACGTGCACACGATGCGCACGGTCATGGCAATCGAGTACATGGCGTAGTTTTTCATGCGCAAGAAGATTTCGCGACTCATGCGGATGGCCGTGATGATGACGCTCAACCCAGGCGACACGAGCACAATGTCGGCGGCGGCACGGGCTGCGTCCGTCGAGTCGTCGACGGCAATCCCAATGTCGGCTTGGGCGAGCGCCGGCGCGTCGTTCACCCCGTCGCCAGTCATGCCGACGACCTTGCCGAGGCTTTGCAAGTGGCGGACAATCTCAAACTTGTGCTCGGGAAACACTTGGGCAAACCCGTCCGTTTCGTACACAAGCTGGGCCAAGTTCATGCCGGGGGGCGGCGCCTGGTTGAAGAAGCGCGTGTCCAAGATGTTGGTCGGCATGCCCAATTGACGGCACGTCTCGACCGCAATGACGCGGTGATCCCCCGTCACCATCTTGACGGCGACACCCAAGTCAATCGCGCGACGGATCGTCTCGGCCGTGTCGTGGCGAGGCGGGTCAAACAGCGGCATCAACCCGACCAACTTCCACTCGGCCTTGTCCAGCGGGACGTCGCCTTCCGAGATCGACACACCCAACCCACGGTACCCGCGGCCCGCGTACTCGTTGATGCGACCTTCGACCTCGTCACGGAGATCGTCGGCATTCACGTCCATGTCCAAGCACACTTGTGGCGCCCCCTTGCACGTGCGAAAGATGCGACCGGTGGCGTTTTCACGAATCTTGGCAATCGTGCGCTTGGTCGTCGGGTCGAACGGCGTGTAGTGCAGCAGCGTGTACGTGTCCCACATTGTGTCCTTTTCCGGGTACGTCTCAAAGCACACGACGTCGATGGCTTCGTGGTTCTCGACGCGGGCGGCCAACGCAGCGTCGCGGATGATCTGCGCCTTGTCGAACCCGTTGTACGGGATCAAGTTGTCCAAGTCGACGCTCAGTTTGTTCAACGTGAGCGTCCCCGTCTTGTCCGAGCACAGCACTTCCATCGACGCCATCTCTTCGATCGACGTCAGCCGCGTCACAATCGCATTCTCCTTGGCCAGCGCCGACGACCCGATCGCCAACGTCACGCTCAGCACCGTCGGCATCGCGACGGGAATGCCGCCGACAATCAACACCAAAATGTTGGCCACACCCAAACAACCGTCCGCGATAATCAAGCACGGGTTCTCGTCGGCGCGGGACCCCATTTGAACAACCAGCTCGATGATGCACCACGCAATGATGGACACCATGCAAAAGTTGCCCACGGTCGTGAGCACTTCCTGCAGACGGCCTTGCGACTCGACGCCGGCGATCTGCGCCGCCGCGCGGCCCAAAAACGTGTTGACGCCAGTGTTTGTCACCACGGCTTCGATTTCGCCTTGCTTGCACACCGAACCAGAGTACCCTTCGTCCCCCGTGGACTTGGTCACGGGGAGCGATTCGCCCGTCAACGACGACTGGTCGATCTTGACGGGGTCGCCTTCAAGGAACTTGACGTCGGCGGGGAGAACGTCGCCCAAACGGATGCGGATGACGTCGCCAGGGACGAGCTGGTCGGCCGGGATACGCGTCATGGCGCCGTCGCGGAAGACCTTGGCTTCGGGAGCCAATTGACCCATGAGGGCCGCGACGGCATCGCCGGCTTGGATCTCTTCAAAGTACCCAATGCACGCATTGAGCAACAAGAGCGCGACAATGAGACCAAAGTCGGGAAAGTCTAAGAGGACGATGGACAAGATCGCGGCGACTTCCATCGCCCACGACAGCGGGTTCCACATGAAGCCAAGGAAAACCATGAGCTTGTTGACCTTGTTCTCCGGAAGCTTGTTCGGGCCGTGCTCTTCAATGCGCTTTTGACCCTCGCCCGTGCTGAGCCCTTCGCGGGTCGTCTTGAGTTTATCCAAGGCAGCGTTGAGCGGGATCGCGCCCCACTCGACTTGACCGACGTCGTTGACGTAATTCTTTTGGTCGTTGGGCGTCGTCATCGACTGGTACGCGTTCGACATGGTTCGATTGCGATGTCGGCAACCAACGATGAAAAATGGCAATGAGCCCATTTTCGAGCACGTGGCTTTCGCGTCGTCGGACTGGGTGCGATTGGCTCGGGTGCTGCGAACATTAGAACGAGTGCCCCTCTATCAGGCTGAAAACATCGCAGCGAACGAGGTGTCGCAGCCCCCCCCTTGCCATCGAGACATGTCGAGTGGGTGATACAGCTCAACCCTGGAATATCTCACACCTCATGTTTCGGCCAGGCGTTGGATATTTCGAGCTTCTCGACGTGTTTGCGCAGATGAAACATGTAGCCGCAACGAATGCTTTATCTGGGGAATTCGTTAGCCGTCGTGCATGTGCTGCCAAAGGCAAGCAAGTTGTCCTCGTAAGGTCGACCACATCGTCCATGTCCCACCACGAATCGTGTCATGCAGGAACACTGGACCTTCAACTATTCCATGCGCAACGCGTTTGGGCGTCGACAAGAGAACACGGTAGGCCATGTCGCGACGGGAGCTGGTTGGGGGCGGCGCGTTGTGCACATGAAGAGTGTTCCGAGAGGACCGAACGGCCCTGACACCGGGGACTCCAATCCAATTCGAGCCGAAGTCGACGCCAGTCCGTTGAGGCATGTCATGGACGCAAATGCTGTGGCGCACGATGAATGCGCCAGGTCCGATACAATCCATCCTACCAGGTTCCTCATTCATCGCGTGAGAACATGGGAGAAGTCGGTCGTTTCCGATGAAGGTTGTCGATTTCTCCGAAATATCAAGGGGGCTGCGACATCTTGAGACGAACGGACCACCGTGCGGATATCGCAAACATATTGTGCATATTCCGATTTTGGACCTTCACCAGCATCTCTACCGACACTTGTGAGATGTTGCGCGCGCGCGCGACAGAGGCGCCTTCGATACCGCGGCATGGACGCCCCACCGCCAGCGTGGAACATCACGTCGTCCCACAACCCCCCAGAGTGATCCAACAAGAGCGAGAAGAACTCATTTGGTAGAGTACAATCTTGCCAGCCAACGGTGGACGCATCTTGCGCGGCTGTAACTCGATGCGGCATTCCTCAGCAATCAGCCAATCCAGACAATTCCCCAATTTATCCGTGAATTTCGCCGAATGTCGCCAAAAATTCATAGAACTAATTCAACATGGAGCCAGGCTGTCGAAGACCATTCAACATGCTAGATTACAGGATTTACGGTGCCTCTGGATTCAGAAAAAGACGATTTCTCGAGAAAAAAGCTCAAACGAGAAATTGGAATTTACAGCACGACGCACTACACGACAGTACTAATCGACAGCCACCTGACGTTTTTCGTCCGAACTGCGTTGAGATTTGAGGATGATTTTTCAATTGAATTATTAATACAAAGAGTAATGAATCAAGAATTTCAAATCATTTTTAATATCTATATATGTAATAGAGAAATGGAGTTGGAACAATAGCTTATTGAAATGTAATAAGGCATGCATCTTTCAAAAATAGACACTTCATTTATTACATAATATAAATACTTCTGTTACCACGATTTTCTTGTGGAGGTTCAGGAACGTCTCTCGCGATGGGACGTCGGAGTGCCGACTTGGACATGGTACAAAAGCGTGTTCACCAAGTTATTGTCTCGAGAAGCGTGCTCGAAGTGGGTACAAGACGGATGCGTGGGCCGATGTCCTCAACAACTACTTCCTCGTATCAAATCGTTAGCAATTGATCACAGGGAGTCAGCGAAGGGGAATGAGTTCTCGGCACATCAAGGGGTAGGGGTGCATCTACCGCGTGCTGTCGGTTTCTTATCCTGTATATTTTGAGCAGGAAAAAATGTCAAAACACTTCTGCGCAAGGTTGAACTTCCATTTCCAAAGCGTCATTTTTGTCTTGCGCAAAAATGAAACGTGGAATTTTGCGCATCGGCAGGAAAAAAAATGGGGTCGAGACTGAGAGGACCGATCTACTGGTCGCCCCCGACTTTGAAATAGACCAAATGATACAATTTCGACAGAGAATCAAATTTTGCAGGTACTGTTTACTTCCAATGGCCCTTGACAACCAACTATTTCAATTCAATATTATCAATAACACCTGTATGTTTTCCAACAGTTTATAACACTGACAGTATAAGTTTTCGTAAATTATTGGGTTTGACCCGTTTCAAAGTGGGGGGGGAGATCAGTATTAAATTCTATTCCAACGCCGTCTGGATGCGCAGGTGGCACACGCCCCGCTCGGGCTCGCGCCACCACAATCCCGCCTCTCGCGTTCCGGTAATCGAAGCAAACTTCCCCAATGTCATGAATCGCTTCAGGACTTTCTGCAGTTTCCCGTGGAAGGCTTTGGCTCTCGCGAGTGGTCGGTTGGTCCCCCCACTGGCCAGCTAGTCCTCTCGCATGTGAGCCAAACTTGTAATCGCCCACCTATGCCACATGGTTCAAGCCATCACATGAACTTCGAAGTCCAAAGCGGCTGCAGAGTTGCCACGTTTTCGCCTGCCTGAGATGTGCACTTGACGCTGGATATGGAAATGGACCGACGTGTCTTTTTTACACCGATTTCGCCACGGCCGCCGAGGTGGACCAAAGAAGGTGCGGCGGGCGGTTCCACAGCCCCCGAACTGACCGACGTGTCTGTGGGGACAGCTGGACGGAAGCAGCACTGGTACTGGCTTCCACGTGGTCGATGGCTGCGCCAGCTTCATCTGCCTGCCACAATGGGTGGCAACTACGCCCACCCCGCCGCGGCTACGACAAACCTCACAACGGACACGCCACCGCATTATGTAGCGGTGCGACAGAAAGTTGAAGCGAGCACTGCCTCAATAATGCAAGTCCGAGGGCATGTGTGCAAAGACATCGTTTTCATTGACGGATCGAGCCACACACCACGCTTGTTTCCCTCGTGTAGCCAACACCAGCCAACACCTTCATGCGTGCAACGACGACAGCGACGACATTGACGCCACCGTAGCATCGTCGACCACTGCGCCATCGAGCGATCTGCCGCGGATCCCTGCAGAGAGCGGCGAACGAGCCGCCGCGGGGGGCATGGACCCTTCCACTTGAATCCTTCGAGACGTTTGACGACCTACTTCCGGTGTTCGGTATATCCAGCGTTCGAAGCTCCATCTTTTCGTGCGATACAGTCGCGCAGCCGCGTGCGGGCCCATGATATCCGTTCAAAGCAATCCCTCGCACCTTACCCCGTTCTCCACGGCTCGACCCAGCGAACGTCCGTGGCGCGCTGGGCATTCTTTGCCACTGCTGGCTGAGTTGACGATGCTGCAAGCCTCGCTAAAATCAAGTAAACCAACCGAACCCGAGCTGTGGAGTTCCATGGACACTTGCCCGAGGCTGCCGCGACGGTCCAGCTGCCAACGCGACGGCCTCTTGCCGCCGCGATCCTTGAGTCTTCACCTCCCCACTTGGTGGCGAACGTTGGATGTTGTTGCGTTGCACACAAGCGGTGCGACATGGAGAAAGCTGGTGCGCTGCCCGTATGACGATTTGTATGCCATACAATTCGCAAGCTAAAATGCGTCTTGTTTTAACGGATTGGTGCCGTGATCGTATCCGGATAGCTCCCAAAAACGCACTTCGAACGCGGTCGAAATTCGGACCACCGAAATATTATGTATGGAAGCAATAGTTCCTCGCGTGTAATTTTATTCCAACCAGCATTTCGACCGTCACTGCACTAAAACGCGTTTCACGCGAAAAAGGCGGTGTAACTCACGTTCCACATCTTCGGTGGGGCACCCGCCACCACCAAGTGAGATTGATGGGGGTGGCGGCGCCACCTCGCCAGTTTTCAACTTGCAGGACGCCCGGCACGTGCACGCCAGCATGTCGAACGCGTACCAGTCGATGACGACGCCCAACGACCAAAAGAATTACGTCAACGACGTCGGCCAAGTCGAGTGGGGCGCGATCCCGCTCAACGCTGCCTTGGACAAACTCAAGACGACCCGCGAAGGGCTCAGCACGGGCGAAGCCGAGAAGCGCATTGAAGAGCACGGCCCGAACAAGTTGCCGGAAACCAAAGTCAACAAGCTCATGGTTTTCCTTGGCTTCATGTGGAACCCGTTGTCGTGGGCGATGGAAGTCGCCGCCGTTTTGTCGATCGTTCTGCTCGATTACCCGGACTTCGCCTTGATTGTCGCACTCTTGTTGCTCAATGCGTGCATTGGGTACTTTGAAGAGATCCAAGCCGGCGATGCCGTCGCGGCCCTCATGGGTCAATTGGCTCCCGAAGCCAAAGTCTTCCGCGACGGCGCCATGACGCGTATCCCGGCCGACCAGCTCGTCCC